AAAACTTCACAATCAGATTATCTTCAATACTGTGGGCTTGAAACTAAGTAGACACTGAATTTCCATCTGCCTGCTGTTAGGACTTCTGCTTTTATCCTGGGAGAGGAGGGTCAAAGGTGGCTGAGAAGTCATCTACTAAAAAGCAGCATAAAATCTTGTGACTTTTTAGTGAAGCTTAAATTATTCCTTGGAGCTCTCTGGGTTTTTTCCCTGCAAAGTGGATATCCAAGTGGAGATCAAACCTCCAAAGTTTGCTTCCTGGAGGCTGCAAGCTTGCTTTCGGAGACAGTTGTTCACCTGAAAACGCTGTGCTTCACCCTGAATGATATATTACCTTCTGACAAGTAACTGCATTAACCCAGAATGTGTGCTGATTAGGGATGTTAAGCCTCTTGCCTTTTGTTTTTCCCTGGTTAATAATGTCATTATTTTAAATCTGTATTTGATTAACTTCTTTGTAGTTTCCTCCCATTATAAATGATCAGATTTCAAAATTACATTATAAAAGAAAAGCAGTTTTATCCATTGCCAGATATATTGTATGAGGCAGCTTTATCCTTCATGCCTTTCTTAAACAGGATTTAAGTATAAAGTTTTTTTTTTTAAATTTATATGGCTTTAAATTTGGAGGAAATTGGAATGATAACATTAAGTTACAGAACTCTTGAATTACTGGTGTTGCCTAATGGTTATTTTAACCTAAAGGGCAATAGATATGGAGGGGCACAACTAGAGAGGCGACACTTGCTGCCACAACACCTTGCATGGACAAGGTAGAACATCTCCAACTGTATTGTCCTTTAGCAGAGGGCGATATAGGATGGGTCCCTTTACTCTGATGCATGTTTTGATTGCTTCTGTTGAACTCTGAGTGTTGTGTCTATATTTGCGATTACTAAATTTCTTCCACATTGGTTCTTGAAGTACTGAACCTCACCTAGAAGTGCGTGTTCTTGGATCTGTACCTGGTGCCCTTGAATCAGGGGCTGGCATGTGCCGACTGCCATCTGCGTTTCAGGAGCTTTGTGTCCAGGCACACGTAAGATGTGAGGGGCGCTGGCCTACATGGAGGTGAGAATTGTGTTGGCATCAGGAAGTTGAAGCCAGCTACAAGTCTCAGATGTAATCTTTCCAGTGACTTCCTTGTTCTTGTCTGTGGGCCACCTAGGAGCATTAGCCGGATTTTAGACCTTTCCTTAAAGAAAGATTGTGTTAATTTTGATTTTAAATTTAAGTTTAATTTCCCTTTTTTACGTGTTGATTCAGAGATCTAAATTTTACTATTTAAAAGAGATTTTATAGGGCTGATAATATAGCTCAGTGGCATAAATGCCTGCCTGGCAAGCCCAAGGTCCAGAGTTTGATTCCCGGCACATCTCCACTCCCAAAAAAGAGGTTTTATGTTTTAAAATAGTAATAATTAACATTTGATTTATTGTCATGAATTAAGTCATCATCTCAGCTCCTCAATGAAGTAAATACTGTACTTATTTTATCCTCATCTGCATGAAGGAAACAGAGAAGCAAAAGCTTTCAAGTTAATTGAAGGCTATACCAGCAACTTGGTTCTGAAGCTGACAGTTTTGTGGGAACTGTGTATGGGCAGGACCTGTGAACCTGCCCCCAGACACACATCCTGAGGCCTAGGAATAAGAGGTGAATGATAGGTGTGGAGTGGCTGCACCTCTTTAAATAAAATGAGGATTATACTGGCATTTATACCCTCTTTAAATAAAATGAGGATTATACTTGTATTTGTATCATTATAAACTGCAGCATGTTTATGAGATGTTTCTTTATTGTGCAGCTAATAATAAGGCTTATAAGAAAGTCATGATTATTTTCTATAATTCAGTCATAAAGGGAAACAAATTCAGGGTTCTTAAATTATACTGCCTTTTTGAAAATGTGTATTTCTAAATCTGCAGAGTATTCTCAAAGAATTTGAGAACTAAAGAATTCTTTTGTTGAAGTTAGTTCTGTCTATCCTTATTTTAACTCAGCTGAAAGAAATAATGCGTAAAGACATGTGTTAAGAGTTCTTCATTTTATTTTTCTTTAGTTTTTCTTTTTTATTTGATAAACTAAAGACTTAGCTAAACTTGTTATTCTTATAAAGCTGGCTCTACTACCTAGAAATGAGGCAGGCTATTATTGTTCAGGTTACTGTACAGTGTGTCCTTTGATTGCATCTGAATGTGTAAGCCAGCAAAACTAGAGATAAAGTATGAAATGTTGTGTTTTCTTTTATCAGGAAGATTACATCTACTTCATCTGTTCTTCGTAATTATTTGGAAGAAAAGGACACACATTCAGAATGGGATTGTATTTTCTGTACACAGTAGTTTAATAATTTAAAAACTGTGGTTATTGAATCACTGTAAATTATCAGAAAATGTGAATAAGGTGAAAGTACGTCTTTCTGAATCCATATTTGGGCTACATTTGTAATTGATCATCTTTTAAAGTGACTTAGATCAGCCTTCAATTTTGTTAACTCTCTTTTTTCCGTTGAAGGATGTCAGGCTGAAGAAGTATTTCAATTTTTCAGTGCAGTAAACCTACCCGGGTTGTGAGTGCATCTCCTTGTTTTCCTGATGCAGTCTGCGGACATGAGGTGGTATCTGGAAGGAAAGCCAGATCTGGAGGAGGAAGCTTTCAGAACTGTCGAGAAGCTGCCTCATTCAGTCCAGAAGCAGCGAGAGGCGAACTTAAGAGAGAGCCCGGCTTTCCTTGGAGGCTCTCCATCCGGTTCTTTTTCCCCCTTGAGGAGCATATCCTTCAAGGAATAACTGTAGGGTGATTTCCTGATGCTGACCTGAGATCATTACTATTATAACTATATAGTCCCAAATTTTTAAGTACCAAATTGAAAGAAGTCCTTGGTACCTTGGAAACACTCGGCGTTTTTCTTATGCTGACTACTTTCTCATTCAGTATAAATTGCAGTTTCAAGTGTACGTCCTATTTGTACAAAGCAAATTATGCAAATAAATCTTACAGGCTACTGAGAAAAGTAGCTTTAAAATGTCTGTACCTTTCCTCCTTGAAGGCTAGTACAGCACCAGCTATTGGGATGTTCCTGAAAGTACTAGCTATAAGAAACAAATCCTATCTTTGATTCCCACTTAGGGGTTAATCTCCGATTTCTCTCTGGCATTCTACTTTGGGCTCCTCACTAACAAGTCCTGACCCACATCCCGACCCAGCTCCCCAGGTGTGTCCAGGCCAGTGACCTGGTTGGAGGTTCCTTACATTTCTCACCTCCTCACCTCCACATTTGTCCTTTTTTTAATGAACCTTTTCCTCTTCCCCTCAGGTAGCAGAATGTCCCTTTCTAATCTAAACAAGAGCCTATTGTCTCCTGTCATCTTTACCATTTAATCTACTCTTCAATCTTGATATCTGTTTTGAATAGTTGTTTCTTTGAATCACATCTTTGAAACAAGAGTTTGAAGTTGATTATTGAATAGTTCTTTTCTCTCAGGCTGTTGTTCTTCATGTTCAGTTTGTAGTAAATGTGGGTCACTTCACTATTTCATCATCGTCTCTTACTTCAACCCTTGTTTCCTGCTTTCTTTTTGTAGTGCTTTAGAGAAACTTCTCTTTGGAGGGCCATATATAGCATTTTAGTAAACAAGCTGCTGACGCTGTTGCTGGCCCATACTCTCAGGTCTCCCGATCTCTGTGATCCTGTGTTTTTGTCAGCATATCTGATCAATTATGAAATGTGCTCGCAGCCATATGTCAGAAGACTGTAGTCTTCTGCCGTGAAAAGTTGGAGTCTGTGCCCTTCCCCACCGGGCATGTTGTTGATATCTCTGCCTCCCGCATTAGTGATGACCTAAATGTAACTAGAAACTACGTAGTTGTATCTCCCTCTATTCTGCAAATCCTTTGTACTTACACCATTTCAGCCCTCATCATGTGTGTCTTTTTTTTCACTAAAACATTTTTCAAGTGGGTCCATCTTGAAATCCATTGTGACGTCCACCCACTCCTTAGACTCTGCTAGCCAGCCCTTTTCCTGACTTCCACCAGCTGTCTCTTGGCCTTTGCTACTTAGTTTTGGTACTTATCACTAGGACGTAGTTCACCCTACCAAGATTTTAGCTCAAACTTCCTGTTGACTGTCACTTCTTCCCTTTATTTTTCTTGCTGCTTAACTATATCAGGTTGAGTTTCCTATGAAACCAATCTCTGTTTTTGCCTTCAGCCCTGCCCTGTTATTTTCAGCATATGTTTTCTTATTAGTCTAATTATTCATTTGGTGTACTTGACAAATACTAAGTCCCAACCTGGTGTTTATTAAGGAGAATGCAAAAAAGAAAAATGAATAAAACAAACATCAAATCTTTCTTGAAATTTGCAGTCTAGCAGGGAAGATAGACATCAAGACAGTGCCTGCAAAGTAATTGAATTATACTAGGACTAACCTTCCAAACTCTTCTTCCCCTTCGTAGTCTCATGGGAAGGGTTTCTATACACAGAGGGTCAGAGGCTTGACGCTGCAGTTCCACATAGCATTTTGGCAAGCGTAGGCGGAGCTGTTGAGGGTATTTTAGGTGGTGGAACAAGCAGCGGTAATGGAGGGTCTACCCCAGTGTGTGTGGGAAAACTTGGCTTGTGCAGGACACTGTGGAGTCTGGGCCTGGAAAGAGGCTAAGAAGTCTAGAGGCTGAACCTTTGGCAGTAAAAACTGTGTCCTGTACATTCCCAAGCATTTTATGTACTTTCTCTCCATTATTCTCTCAAGGACCTCGCAAGGAAGGTGGTGTTCTCCCATTCTTTCAGGGGTAGAGCCTGGGACTCAGGAAAACTAAAGTGGGATCACGGAGTTGTCAAGTGGCAGGCCTAGGATCCAGACACAGCACGCTCTGCCTACTCTTGGGCTGCTGTGAGCACAGCTAGGTCTGTTTATTCTTAGCTCTCGTGCCAATTGATTTTTCTAGGAGGCATCTCTCACTATTCCCATGTGGACTTTTGCTTTTGCAATAGCTACTTTTCCTTTTGACTCGAATCTGTGTGCTTCTTGAAGACAGGGTGCTTTCATCTGCGTATTTTCCCAGTGTCCTACCGCGTCTTTCCTTAAGTACATAGTCCACAGAGTTAACAAGTAACTGCTCACTCTTTCCATCACTTCTCACATAGACATTAATTTAGAACCAGTTGGCATCTGCCTTAAATGAAATGACTAAACACATGAATGGTACCAGCTGATCTTGTAGTGTTCTTGGTGCCCTCCTATTCTCTTCATAGGGATGTATCTTTGTTTTTTTTTTTCTTCAGAACCGGGCATTGAACTCAGGCCCTTGCACTTGTCAGGGAAGCGCTTATTCCACTGAGCCATCTCCCCAGCCCCATAGGGCTGTATCTTGCCAGACAAAGTGTGCTACCAGTGCCCTGGAATAGTAACTAAGCACTAAAAGCTTATTCAGATGGGCAGCTTGATATAAGAATCTGCCTGTTAACGTCCTCTCTCTGCCACTGTGTGCTCTCTCTCTCTCTCCCTCCCTCCCCCCCTTCCCCCTTCCCCCCTCTCTCTCCCTCTCTCTCCCTGTCTGTTCTCTCTCTCTCTCTCTCTCTCTCTCTCTCTCTCTCTCTCATTCCATTCATTTGGTACAGGGTCTCAGTACACAGCTCAGACTTGCAGTGATCCTCCTGTTTTCAGCCTCCCTAGCACTGGGATTGCAGGTGTGTGCCACCATGCCCAGACTCCTTCGCTGGCTCAATGTGCTCAGGGGCAAGGCCAGCATGGCATACAGGACCGTTGATTAAACCCTGGTCTCTGTGCTTGCCAAAGCATGTGCTTAGTCTGCTGAGCTATCTCGCTGACACCCCCCCCCCTTGATTCTTACAGTTAGGTCTGCCTGTTAATAATTTGTCAGGATGTTAAATAAGAACATCCTTCTGGGAGAACCTTTCTCTGTGTCCGTGTCTGTGTCTCTGTCTCTGTTCCTCTCCCTCCGTCCTTCTCTCTCTCTCTCTCTCTCTCTCTCTCTCTCTCTCTCTCTCTCCTCTCTTTCTCCTTCCCTCTGTCCATCCACCCCATCTATCTCTGTCCCTGTCCATGTCCCTTTCTCTGCCCCCTCTCTTCTCTCTCCCCTTCGTTCCTTCCTTTGTCCCTCCCTATCTGTCTCACTCAGTCTCTGTCCTTATCTCTCTCCCTCCTCTCTACCCCACCCCCTTTCTGTGTCTGTCTTCCCCTCTGCCCTTCCTTCCCTCTCTCCCATCCTCCTTTCTCTTCCCCCCTCCCCAGCAAATTTGTACACTTGAGTCAGTACAAGTTCATGGATGCATGTAGTAAGATAAGTAAGGAGGGTATGCAAGTGTAGAGTTCTGGTAGAGTGCAATAAAAAGGAGCCAGAACAATGGAAGTGCGGCTGGGTGACAGGCGTGTGGATGATGGGAAGACTAGCAGAGTGATAAGGACTGTAAATGGAATTGGAGCACCACAAGCCTCATACTTCACGTCTACAGAAGCACAGGGCAGCTTGGTGCTGAGTGCATATTTAGCACTCAGGAGTTGCGTGGGCCTGAGCGATTTTGCTCTTTGGTGCTGCCATTGTTCATTATGAACTAATGCACGCAGAGTTTCTTGTTTTTCTTCCTGTGAACTTCATTGGATAAGACACCGGTAGAAAAAGTAAATCCTTGGCATAACCAAAGTTGTACAGAGGTTAAAAAAAGGAGTCATATTCAGGTAGAGGTAGAAATTTTACCCCAAAATGGAAGCCTACAGTATAATATTTGAAGAGAAAATTGAGTTAGAAAATTACAAGGTGTGTGTTAAAATGAGAGCTCCCCTGGAGTACCTCCAGCTGGCTGAGGGATGTGCTTAGAGGTGTGTGTATGCTTCTGCTAGGCTGCGGATAAATAATGTCTTTGCCATGTTATAAGCTGCACTTTTTAGACTTACTGGTGGAGGGAAGAATGCTGCTGTTAGAACATGTTTGTGTTTCCATCTGTCTACCTCATTCTTAAGGAGACCTGCAGTGTTTCTGTTCTATCATTTGGTGATAAATGGAAATGTATTTCTAACAGCAATATTGCAAGTAAATGTAATATTTTTCTAAAGACATTTGAAGGACCCAGTAAAAATTTTCCCCAAATATAAAGTAAATACCAGTGCTATGCATACAAAACTAAGCTAAGAAATACTATTTTCCTTAAGATGAAAGTACAAATAACATAGTATGTTACATGATATGAAATTAATAGCGTGTTGAATTTTATGCCATGAAAAGTTTTTGAATAGCCAGAACTTACTCTGTAGGGTAGGCCCACAGCACATGCTTCCATTAAAACTTCCAGGTCAGTTGACACTGGCTTTATTCTTCTTATTATTTTTACCTTTAGCCAGTTCCAGACTGGACAAACAAGGGTTTTGGATCCCAGTGTGGAGCTGCTGGGTTAGTGCAATTCAGGGGAATCAGAGCAAGCCCGCCTCTGCAAACGAGTCTCAGAATACATTTTCTGGTTTTCAGGATGAATCTTCAAGTCATGAATGTAACCAGCGCACGATCCTTCTCTATGGCGTCGGCAAGGAGCGGGACGAAGCCAGGCATCAGCTGAAGAAGATTACCAAAGACATCTTGAAAATCCTAAACAAGAAGAGCACCACGGAGACAGGGGGTAAAGAGCCTTCATGCGTTGGCTCCCACGGTGTTTGCTTTTGTCTTCCTGCTTCACACAGTCTTTATCAAAGTGGCATATGCCACTGTCACTAGAGTGTTTCCTCCCCTCAATGACTGTCACGTTGAAATATGAATAAGCATTTAAATTTATGGCCCAGTGTCTATTAGGGGCAGTCATGTTAAAGTACCATGTTTTACAGATAGATACATGCAATTTTTTCTTTTAGTATAAATCTATATCTTCTACAGTAGTAATAAAATCCTGGAGAATGAATGCGAAAACTATTATTCTGAAGTAGTCCCACCTTCTTGTTTCTTTCTGTGACTTTTTAAGCCTGTAGTTTGCTTTTACAGAGTACTTGCATTTGCACAGAACTTTTTCTTTACTATATTCAAAAGAATTATAGTAAGTAGTGAGAGCTACCTATATTTCCAAATAATTTAAGAAAGAGAATTGGATGTCATGTGGAAATGCCTTTTTTACTGGGAATTTTCCTTGCCCAACACTTTTTACATATTTATAGTGAAGCTATGCTTTTATAGTGTGTTACTACATTGCATAATTGGAATTTTAAGCTATCTACTTCACACCTAATTATTCTTTTCAAGGTCTATATGATCATATGATATAATATATTCCGCTCAGTCTCCACTGGTGTTTCTTTTTTGAATACTTCACTGGTGTGAGGAAAAAGCATTTGGATTAACCCTGTATGAACAGCATTCCTTCTCTGTGTTGGATAATCCTCTAGCGCCTCAATTACCTTCTATATGGATTTCTTCATAGAAGATCCAGTCTTTGGACAGGGTACATTGCTTGGACTTGTCCATGCCAGAGCTTACGTAAGGAGAAAAGTAGGTACAGAAATTTGAAGGAAGTTCTCCTGTCAGCAAAGGTGTGCATGGAGAAACGTGGACACCACGCTCTTCAGTTTGGGCCGCTGCGTGCTCTACATGTAGGCGGTAGTCCTTAGAACTCAGGGAGGAAGCAGCATCGCAGGCCTGTCATCACTTTCCCTAGCTCCTTTCCCCTGCCAGTTAATGTCCCCACACCATGAGGGAACAGCCAGGAGTGGAGAGGGAAACGAAACCCTCTCGCTGGCTTCTCATCACTTAAATTGAAGGAGAAAAGAGCTCTGTCTAAGAAAATTAAATTGGTTGGATGTTTTCTCTGTTAGAGAAAATGAATTTCATTAGAAGATTGAATTTAGAAACTATGCTGCTATGTAGCAAGGAAGACTTGACACTACTTTCTGCTATATAAGAAATAAGGGTGGGGGCATTGTCTCCTGCAATAGATTCAGATATATA